ATCTCAAAATAATTATGCTAAAAGAAGCCAGATTAAAAATAGTATCTCTACATGATTCTACAAAATTTCAACTAATTCTAGTGACAGAAAGCAGATCAATTGTTGCCTGGGGATTCATGGGGGATAGAAAAAAGTGGGAGGAAGGGACTACCAAGGGGTACAAGAAAACTTTTGGGGTAATTAACATATTCACAATTCATATTTGGGGGGATAATTAACATATTCACAATCATGACTGTGGTGATGGTTTTATGGATGTATACACGTATCAAAACTTACAAAATTGTACATCTTAATATGTACTGTTTATCAATTTTACCTCTTTAAATATTTAAAATTTTTAAGAAGAATAAATAAGAATGGAGAAAAATGTAAATATTCAGGCAAAATCTTTTGAGTGCCTTGAAAGGGGACTTTAGAAATAGATAAATAATGTATCTTATCATTTGAGTAAATGAGTTAAAGAGAGTATCATTATTATTCACACCGATGAGGAAAGACTAGGAGTAAAAAAAAAAACAAGAATAGGAAAGATAGAAATTTTTAAACCTTTCTTACCTAAAGGAAGGAAAATGCAAGTTAGGGCTCATGGGTAGGTCATGACATTAGTTTAGTGGCTTGGGATCAGCATTTAAAACAAACAACTCTCTCTCCCAAAACTGAAATACTCTAGACCAGAACATAAAATACCAGAAAGACACAGAGTAGCTAGTAAGGTTAAGTATTGTCTTATAACATGACATAAAATTGTATTTGTTTTCTTTTCCTCCTCCTTCTTCTTCTTCTTTTTTTTTTTAAAGAGATGAGGTCTCACTATGTTGCCCAGGTTGGAGTGCAATGGCTATTCTCAGGTGGAATCACAGCACACCACAGCCTTGAACTCCTGGGCTCAAGTGATCCTCCTGCTTCAGCCTCTCAAGTAACTGGGACTATAAGTGTGTACTACTGCACTGAGAGCTGAACTCATATTATATTTCTTAATGTAGGTTGTGTCAGGAAAAAAAAATATGGACAATCTTGAATTCTAGATTGCAGAAAAAAATCTGTAGATTTTGTCAAAAAGAGAAAAAATGGAAAAAATAAAAATGTATGAAAAGAACTGGTAGTTTCTATTAATATATAGTATATTTTAGAAGACTGGATTAATAGGTGGAAAAAGAAAAGGGAAAAAATGAACTGAGGAAGAGTTCCGAACTTTTATGTAAAAATATATTAAGATAAAAACCACTGATTAAAGAAAGTTATATGAAACTAAGACTAAGGAATAAAGACAAACCGGACAAGTGATTTTCCACAGGGGAAAGAGAGAAAGCCAGTATTCAACAGAGACTAAGAAATGGAGGATAAATATTTGGAAAAGAATAAAAAACATTAAGAAGAGTTGAACAAATTATTCAAGGATATTTTATGTATGACAAAAAAAGCTATTTTAAAAATAAACTTGGCCTATAACTTCATTTTACCAATTTAAAATATTTTAATGTAAAACAACAGTCTTAAACTCTGTGTGTGATTATTAAAGTAGTACATATTTACTGTAAATCCTGAAACATATAGGAAAGAAAACATCATTCATGAACTCAATACTCACAGATAACTATGGTTAGACTATTATATTTTCTATACTTTGATTTTTATCAGGAAACTATTCTTTCCCCCTTTATCAACTCATCTTGAGTCCCTAACAGTTTATAAAATTAAAACTAGTTTTTACATTCATTAATATATGAAAGATTTTACCACTAAAAAAGTGTTTTTAAGTGTAATATAACTATGAAAGCAAAATGCCTTTTTTAGACAGAGCTGCATTTCTTTTTATAAACTGTGCACTTACTACCTAACTCTAGTACTGCTTGTCACCACAGAGAAGCAGTATATTGACTGTAGCACATTAGATTTAAATGGACTCCTTGGAAGTGAACCAAGTTTTATGAATCCCTTACTTGGCAATCTAATCTATATTGGAAGTAAACGGTTTTTAGGTAATGATGCATATGATGCATATCCTACAATGGTAGGGGTGTGAACAGATATTTCAAAATAATAGATCCTATTTGTTCTGATGAAATAAAACAATTCAAGAAGGGCGAAGTTATATTTTACTAGAATAAAATTTCATAGAAATTTTTCTTGTAGGGATACCCTACTGTGAAACTGACAGCTCTGATGAACAATAGTACAGTATTCAGCCTCTCACTTAATGTAACGGACCTCTTAAAGATCTGTCCCAGTTCCCATAGCAGGGACTGTAGTTTGGAGGCAATCTTGAGCATATGTGCTTGGCAATTAGCTCTTCAATTGCCATGTACTTAAAGAAGATTTCAATCTCATTTTTAACAAAAGCCAACCTTGAACATAATCTGACAAAGGTAACAAATGAAGATAATGTTCAATCTACAACATACCTATGTGTAAACACAGTCTCTCTCTCTCTCTCTCTCCCTAGACTCTCTCTGATGTGACACCACCCCACTTAAGTCAGGATCCAGAATGAAAATACTATTCTAATCCTACCAAGAAAATCTAAAATTGAAATGTAAAATATATGGTAAGATGATTTGAATTGCTTAATTTTTTTCATTTTTTTGTTCTTTATAGCCAAGAAAATTAATTTGTACAAAGTGTTAAAAATCTAATTAACATCTTCAGGATTAATCAAATTCTTATTATAGTCTTAAAATAACAGATTGCTATGAAAAAAACAATAAGAATTTCTATAAATATAAATAAGATTGTGGAAACTAAAAATTTAATTAATAGATAACTGATACAATGGTAATAGTGAAAAATAAATGAGTGATTTGAAAGGTAAAGCTGAGTACATCTTGAAGAATGTAGAACAAAAAAAGAAAAGATGAGAAACACAAAAAAATTGATCCCTGGAATGTCAAGTGGTCCAATATTTACCTAATGGGAATTCCAGAAAGAAGAAATGGAAGGAAACAAATCATTAAAAAAATAAGAAAATTCCTGTGAACTGAAGAAAGTTTTGAATTTTCAAACAGAAAAACCTATCCAGTGCCAAGCAAAATGTGTGAAAAGATCCACACCTACGTACATTTAAGTGAAATTTCACAATTCCCATGATAAAGTAAAAGTCTTAAAAGCTTAAAGAGAACAAACTTGAGAAGATAAAACAAAAATATAACAGGACAAAAAGCAATGGAATGACTCTGGCTGGCATCTAAATTCTTATTAGTCTGGAGATTAGAGCCTAGATAGAGCACAATGGAGACTGGAGGCTAGAGAACAATGGAGTAGTGGTTTCAAAGATGTAAGGAAAATATTTTTGATCTTGAAACCTTTACTCAGCCAAATTATTACTCAAATGTGAGGGCAAGATAGAAATATTTCTAAACATGAAAGGATTCATAATGTTTACTACCCACGCACATACTATCATATATACATTACTTAAGGAGTAATTCAACAAAGAAACAATGATTTACAAGAAAGAGAATGACATGAGATTTTTTAAAAATGTTGCTTCTGAGCAGAGCCCAGAAAGAAGAAAGAAAAAGAATGATGACAAGAAATCAAACACAATCCACTGGATGATGACTTTTGACACATTCTCCCCAAAGTCGCACGGGCTTTTAGTAACTAATGCAGGATTTTTATTTCCTATGAATCCAAGCATAATATTTTGTTGTGCAGTGAATGCTTACATCATCATAATTCTGATGTTTTTATTGTATTTAAGGTTTTAGATCTGAAGACAAAACATAAATCATTTAATAATAGAATATGACAAAACTGGGAGAGGGTAAATTATCTCCCTAGTTTTGGGAGAATTCTTATTTGAGAATAAGAATAGATTTTGAAAAAGCAGAAGAAAAAGAAAAAAAAAAAAACCCAGAAGCTTGCTAAAGGGAGTTACTTTTAGAGAGTGATAGTAGGGGTAGGTAATTTTTTCCTTTTCTATTTCCTTTTTTCATGACCTGTTTAATTTGATTTTGTTTACCATGTATATAGGCATAACTTTAATTCTTTTAAAAAATTATTTAAAAAATAAATACAAGGCACTTTCATTAATAAAGGGTATAATATTATACTGAATGAATGATTATATGACTCTATCAAGAAAATACTGACCAAATGGAGAGAAATAAATACATCTATAGGTACTGACATTAAAAACTGTCCTTAAGGAAAAAAAATCAGAAATGACAATGGATAATTAGATGATCCTACCTATGTTAAAAAATCATATGAGTATGGTGTGTGTACATGTAAATGTTTGTAAGATATTTCAGTGTTGTAAAAACAATTTACTCAAATGGTAGGAGCCTTTGAAGAGATTTCATTGTTGCAAACTACATTTTTATTTTCAATGTAACCTCTAACTCATGGGCTCAAGAGATTCTCCTACCTAAGCCTCCCAAATAGCCGGGACTAGAGGTGTGTGCCACCATGCCAGGCTAATTTTTAAATTTTTTTGTAGAGATAAGTTCTTGCTGTGTTGCTCAGGCTGGTCTTGAACTCTTGGCCTCATGTGATCCTCCCACCTCAGCCTCCCAAAATGCTAGGATTACATGTAAACCACATTTTAAATGAGCATAATTCATAGGCTGTCCTGTGATTTCTTTTAGGTCTAGCCTAAATTTTTTTATAGCCATTGGATATGTAAGTCTGCACTATTGAACATTTTTGGTATCAGTCTCAAGAGAATAAGACAGAATTCAATAATGTTTAAAATATTAACATGTTAAGTTTCCAGCTATTACCCAATCTGGCAAACCTCAGACACATTAATTATTCACTCTAAATAGTATTTTATACTTAGAAAAAACCAAACTGAACAAAAAAAAGAGGGCTTTTTTTTTTAATATTGAAAAAAATTAAAAATATGTAACATCATAAAATTCAAGTAAGTTGGATTTCTGGCATTAAGCAACTCTAAAAACTAGTAACATTATTAACGGTCTATGTTTGCTTCAAATAACACTAAAATATATTTAGTCATAAGCCCTCTTTTTAATAATTTAGTTTTTTCTTACCAGGCTATTTTCTTTCCAGGCTTCTGGGAATTTAGGTCTCTGTTTTTCCCTAGACACAAGAACCTGCATATCCTCAAAAGTAGGGTGGTTTCCAACTTCTGTCTGAAAAGCCATCTGGTATTCTGGTACAGATTCCCCTGTGATTTGTAGAAAAGAATGATAAAATAAAATTTCCAGTTATCATAAATGATAGAATAACAGGGGCATTGCTGATACCAAGTAAGCAAAGAAACTGTGTCACAATCCTTTTTTTTAAAACCCCTTCTGGCACATATGGAAATCCTAAAGAGACATTCTTGTAGATTTAAAGCATTATTAATAAAAAATTTGCTTAGAATAGTCTCAAATATTTGTTGCTAAATCAAATGGTAGTTTCAATGATGGACAGGTATTTTAAAATGGTTTGTAGTTATTACTAAATTCAAGGAAAAAAGATTATTTATGAGTTATACTTAATACTTGAAAATATTTCTGAATTTTGATTCCATGGAGGTTATGAGATGAGAAGAAAGTCTGAGATCTAGTACAACAAATATGTTTGTAGAACCAAACATAAGTGGGTGGGTTGAACAGTCACCATGTCTCATTATGTATCATAGCCTCTATTATAGTCCAGCCAGATTGTGTCAAATGTCATAAAAATTTTTATGATAAGGGCTGACACAGGGCTGCCATGTTGCAGCAGGACAGTAATTATGACACTGAAGATGCTTCACGGTTTGATGCAGAAGAGGAGATAATTATTAGACTGAAAAAAAAAATCCAAAATTAGACACCCAGGGCCATCATTTTTCCACTTATTCTTTCAAGTCAGTGCAATTATAGTCTATTTTCTCTGTGAATTGCTCAGCAACAGCTTTTTTGCCTATACGGTGATAATTATCTTGTTGTCATGTGACTTTTGGGCAGTGAAGAATGTCACAAGTAGACTAATGGTTGACCTACATTGGTAGAATCACATTAATAAAGATGGAAAGAGCCACTGGGTATTTCAGTCCAGAAAAGCATCCCTTTAAGAGAATAAAACTGTTTCAGAGACTGAATCAAGAATCTTTTGGTTAGGACTTACTGCCTGCCCAGTTGCTATGGGTGATATTTGCCTTTTTTTTTTTTTTTTTTTGAGACAGAGTCTCACTTTGTTGCCCAGGCTAGAGTCAGTGCCCTGGCGTCAGCCTAGCTCACAGCAACCTCAAACTCCTGGGCTCAAGCAATCCTTCTGCCTCAGCCTCCCAAGTGGCTGGGACTACAGGCATGCGCCACCATGCCCGGCTAATTTTTTATATATATCAGTTGGCCAATTAATTTCTTTCTATTTATAGTAGAGACGGGGTCTCGCTCTTGCTCAGGCTGGTTTCGAACTCCTGACCTAGAGCAATCCGCCCGCCTCGGCCTCCCAGAGAGCTAGGATTACAGGTGTGAGCCACCGCGCCCGGCCTGGAGTCTTTTTAATCAGCAGATTATGTTGTGAATGTATTTGTAAATTGTTAAAATATTTTTAAGATGTTTTATTTAAATTAATAAGTGTCTTTGTTGGAGTGATAGCTTTGAAGGTACAAAACTTTGTATTTGTATAAAACTCTACTATTTACAAAGCAAAAAAAAAGTTTATGATAATGAGCATTTGACAGAAAAATCAATATACTGATTTTTTAAAAACTTTTTTATGTAACAAGCAGTATTTAGGTTATAGATTTTTGAATATTGTTAACTATTCATCTACTGTTTAGTAACCCTATTCATTGCCAAAAGCACAACCAACTTATTGTACAAAATGTTATAAAATTAAATTTATGAATAAACATATTGAACCACACAGAAGACCCTTGGAACCAACACTTAGAAAACCATCGGTCTAGTGGAAATCTTGGCAAAGAGAATAAAAAAAAGAAAAGGAAACAGTGTTTACAAATAATTCATTGCTTCCAATTTCTTACAGGGTCAACTCAGGAAACATTATAAGCATAGCTTCTCTCAAATGCTCAGAGGGTCCATAAGGAAAATGATGAATGCTAAAGCAATCAGAGACCAAGCTAAACATAGTTAGATAAGCTATTACTGGTAATTAATTAAACTGTCCTCAGATGAAAACCTGGAGTAATTTTTTAAAAAAATTTCCTGATTCACATCCTTCTGCTAATAATATTTCTGAACACTAGATGGCAATGAACTAAAGCTTTAAATGAAAGTCAAAAGATTGTTACACAAAAGTTGAGTTATTTAATATAGATAGAGAAAAAAGATATAACTACTTCACTTCAAAATACATCAACTTTTGACAGTAGTTCTTACCTGGGAAGAGGTCTGTACATCTCATGAATATCTCCCAATAGATTAGTCCAAGTGCATACATGTCTACCTGTTTCAAGGCTGATTCACAGTCCCTCAGGTTCACAGCTCCCTCAAGCACTTCTGGTGCCATATATCTGATTGTGCCAACCTGATAAATTAGAGTGATATTTTTCAGAGAGAGAATGTAGCATATTCTGAAGGGCAGACATTAGACCAGAAGCTATATGTAAATTTCAGTAATATCAATGATGTTATTTGATCCTAAGCATGTCATTAAACCTTTCTATACCTTATTTTTTTCCTATAAAATGTCCTTCCTATGGCCAGGCACAGTGGCTCACTCCTGTAATCCTAGCACTCTGGGAGGCTGAGTCGGGAGGATAGTTTGAGGTCAGGAGTTCAAGACCAGCCTGAGCAAGAATGAGGAGACCCTGTCTCTACTAAAAACAGATAAAATTACCTGGGCGTGTTGGCATGCACCTGTAGTCCCAGCTCCTTGGGAGCTGAGTCAGGAGGATTGCTTGAACCCAGGAGTTTGGAGATATTTTGTGAAAGAAAAGAATATACTCAATTATGGCTGGATAAGGTGGCTGATGCCTGTAGTCCTAGCACTCTTGTAGGCTAAAGCAGGAGGATTGCTTGAGGCCAGGAGTTTGAGACCAGCCTGAGCAAGAGTGAGACCTTGTCTCTACAAAAAGTAGAAAAATTAGTTGGGTGTGGTGGTGTACACCTGTAGTCCCAGCTACTCGGGAGGCTGAGACAGGAGTATGAGGTTGCTGTGAGCTAGGCCGATACGACGGCACTCTAGCCCAGCAATAGTGTGAGGCTCTGTTTCAAAAAAAAAGCCCTTCCTGAATAATTAAATTGTGATAAATTCATTTTAGTGAATCCTCTTCATCAATCAAAAAGAATGACCTCAACCTTCATATGTATATCAACAGAAAACACTTGTAAGACACAATAAGTGAGAAAATTGCAAAACATTATATATACTATTTAATATTTTAAAACATTAACAAAAATACATACACACCCGTGTGTGTGTGTGTGTGTATATATATATATATATGTGTATATATATATATATATATAGAGAGAGAGAGAGAGAGAGAGAACAGACAAACACACCCCTATGTGAATGCAGAAAAAAAACTTAGAAAAGATATATTCCACACTGTAATAGTGAGTATCAAAAGGTGGACTGTCCTATATCAAACTTGGTAATTTGGGTTTTGTTTTTTTTGTGTGTGTTTCTTTTTTTGAGACTGAGTCTCACTCTGTTGCTCAGGCTAGAGTGCTGTGGAGTCAGCCTAGCTCACAGCAACCTCAAACTCCTGGGCTCAAGCAATCCTCCTGCCTCAGCCTCCCAAGTAGCTGGGACTACAGGCATGTACCACCATGCATGGCTAATTTTTTCTATATATTTTTAGTTGGCCAGTTAATTTCTTTCTATTTTTAGTAGAGACGAGATCTTTTTCTTGCTCAGGCTGGTTTCAAACTCCTGACTTGAGCAATCTGCCCGCCTTGGCCTCCCAGAGTGCTAGGATTACAGGTGTGAGACACCACACTCAGTCTGTTTTGTTTTGAGACAGGGTCTCACTCTATTGCCCTGAGTAGAGTGCTGTGGCATCAGCCTAGCTCACAGCAACCTCAAACTACTGGGCTCAAGCGATCCTCCTGCCTCTGCCTCCTGGGTAGCCGGGACTAAAGGGATGTGCCATGATGCGCAACCGATTTTTCTATTTTTTGTAAAGATGGAATCTCGCTATATTGCTCAGGCTGGTCTCAAACTTCTGGCCTGCCTTGGCTTCCCAAAGTGCTAGGACTGCAGGTGTGAACCACTATGCCTGGCCTCAAACTTGGTAACTTTATTCTTGCTTCAAAAATTAGTTCCTGAGTGGGTGCAATGATTCACACCCATAATCCTAGTACTTTGGGAGGCTGAGGTGGAAAGATCGTATGAAACCAGGAGTTCCAGACCAACCTGGGCAACGCAATGAGATCCCTTCCCTACAAAAAATAAAAAAATTAGGTGGGCATAGTGGCATGTCCGATAGTCCCAGCTACTCAGTAAGCTGAGGTGGAAGATTGCTTGAGCCCAGAAGTTCTAGGCACAGTGAGCTATGACCCTGACACTGCATTGTAGCCTGGACCACGGACAAAAACCTTGTCTCTAAAAGGTTTTAGAGACATATAAAAAAATCCCAAAAATAAGTTTCTACAAATTTCTAAATTCCTAATGCTCATCAAAAGGACTTGGAATAGCAGTGATTTCCAAAATGAACTGATGAACTTTTACAAAGGCCGTTATGCAATGTCTTTTGTATTTCTTAATTCTGTAATTACCAATATTTTATAACTGGTAGTATATAAAGATATTGTCCTATGCAGTGGATTTGTTAATGCAATTCATTATAGTTTCAAAGTATTTTGGTGTGATAACTTTTGTTTATACTCACCTCACTTATGGCTGCATTATCTTCTTCCCCTGGGCGCACCAGTCTATTTCCAGTCAGCTTCATGGACAAGCCAAAGTCACTAATAACACAAGTTCCATCATTTTTCACCAGGACGTTTCTGCTGTTTAAATCTCGATGGGAAATTGCAGGTTTATAATGATCTGTTTAGATAATTTCAAATATTTATTAATACTTTAAACAGCAGTATTGGACATGAAATGAACATGCAAATAACAGGAACTACATATAGTATTTACTTATAATACTATAATGATAGTATTATTTTTCCTCATTAACTTTCTTTTATTTATTTATTTTTTTGAGACAGAGTCTTGCTTTGTTGCCCAGGTTAGAGTGAGTGCTGTGGCGTCATCCTAGCTCACAGCAACCTCAAACTCCTAGGCTCAAGCGATCCTACTGCCTCAGCCTCCCGAGTAGCTGGGACTACAGGTGTGCGCCACCATGCATGGCTAATTTTTTCTATATATATTAGTTGGCCAATTAATTTCTTTCTATTTTATAGTAGAGACAGGGTCTCACTCTTGCTCAGGCTGGTTTCAAACTCCTGACCTTGAGCAATCTGCCCGCCTTGGCATCCCAGAGCGCTAGGATTACAGGCGTGAGCCACCACTCCCGGCCTATTTTTCCCCATTAACTTTCTAATAACAAAAAAGGACACAAGAAATCAAAATTTCCACTCACATTCAACACTATTTTCAAATATATTTTATAACATAACTCATGTGCATGTATAGTTAATTAAGCATTAAACATTAAGCTGGAACTAACAGCCAACATGCTGTTGCTTCTAATTCTAACATATATTCATTTTTTTCTCTTTATTTGTAAGGCAGCAAAAGGAAGCAATCCAGAAGCGAATATTTGGTATAAACACCCAAAAACAGTCAGACCGTCTAAGACAAGTATCAATGAAAAACTAACGTGGCTCTAAAATTTTTATATAAATCTTATATTGTTCTCCTATGACTTAACAGATAAAACCTGTGACAGCACATCCCAGTTCTGTCCTGAGGTTTAGCCATGTCTCTAAGTCCACTTCAGTTTTTCAAATCTAACTAGAAATAGTTTTACAATGAATTAGAAGAACAAGTGGAAGAGCTGGTATCCCCCAGCAAGAAATGAAAACCTGTTTTCTGATTTTAAAGAAGCAAAGTAGTGTTATACTCATTCTGTTACCTGTGTAGCCTTATCACCAGACTACAGGACCCATGAAGGCAGAAAGAGAACATGTTTTATCTGAATTTAAAAGACTTTGCACAGAGTAGACACATGTTTGCTGATGGAAAGAGTGAATCTAACCTAAGCCCCTCACCAAAAATATTACATTATTTTTTCCTTTCTATAAGGAAACCTTATATAAACCTCATATTAAATAAAATCATAGCTCTGGAAATGAAAAAAATTCTATAGCACCAATTTCTGAAATTTAAAAAATCTCCCTATGTATACAGAAATAAAGCAATCAGGGTTCATTGAGTATTTATTTTTAGGCACAAATAGACTCAATATTTAGATACTTTACTTTCATTAATGAGCCTTCAAATGCAATTTCACCAACAATGAAACTGTAGACAGAGGACAAGGATTCCTTTGATATATAAAAAATTAAGCAACAGTACAATTTGAAGAAAAACAGGAGTTACCAAGTTTCTTCATCTAAGAGTTAATGAAGAGTTCTCATATCTCCCTTATCCACTTCCTGTTCTAGTCTTCTAAAGCTTGTTTTAACTTGGATCCTACTCAATTCCTGTAAGAGCTGCATTTCTTTTTTTTTTCTTTTTTTGAGACAGTCTCACTCTGTTGCCCAGACTAGAGTGCCATGGCATCAGTCTTGCTCACAGCAACCTCAAACTCTTGGACTAACGCAATCCTCCTGCCTCAGCCTCCCAAGTAACTGGGACTACTGGCCTGCGCCACCACGTCTGGCTGTTTTTTTCTATTTTTAGATGCCTGGCTAATTTCTTTGTATTTTTATTAGAGACGGGGGTCTCATTCTTGCTGAGGCTGGTCTCAAACTCCTGACCTGAAGTGATCCTCCTGCCTCGGCCTCCCAGAGTGCTAGCATTATAGGGGTGAACCACCACGCCTGGCCAAGAGCTGTGTTTCCTACACTGGATAAAACCACAACATAAGTTATGTAGTATATATAATCTTGAGCTGATATTTACATAGGAAAATTTATGGAGACTTTGGAATATGTTTGTGTACTAATATCAAATCAATATTTAAACTCAAAGATCGCATACTTTAGGGAAAACCAGACTAATGATGGGAAGAATGTGCAATGACTCAGTGAGGCAGCCAGAAGGCAGCCAGTTTAGTATACTTCCTGCCATTACTAAAAAAAGAAAGAGAAAAGAATTAAGGAAAAAAAAAAGAAGAAGAAGAAGAAAGGGAGGGAGGGAAAGGGAAGAAGAGAATGAGGGAGGGGAAGAAAAAGAGATGAGATGGGGACTCATCACCAACGCAAAGGGTAGGACTACTGACTGCCCTTTTGAGAGAAGTTTTCCCTTTTAAGCTCCTTTCAGTATTCATTTTATTTTTGTTATTTGGGTGTGGAGTTGGGGGCGGGTGTGAAACACACAATGATTTCGCCCAGGGCAGAGTACGGCACTGGGCAAGTATCTCAAATGAAAGTATAAGATATTATTTTAATTATGTTTTTTAAAAATCTGAGCAAAAATAGTCTCTGTGGATATTTACACACACATACAAACTTAAATATTTTCAACTTATGATTGATTTATTAGGACATAACCCCATTATAAGTTAAGGAACATCTATGCTTGGGAATATTTTTTAAATAATCAGGCAAAACTATAAATTCAATAGCTACTATACTTATATGCAACAGTATTTATATATTCAGTTTTTTAAAAGGTAACTATTCAGTGATAACATTAGCTAATGTTTAATAGTAACAGCCATGTTTAAATAAAACTCATATTTGATGGCAAGCATTCTTTTCAGCCAATATTTGTCTTGAAATCTTGCTGAATCATGCAAATCTGGAAAAGGGGAATTAGGATGGTATATTTTAAGTTCTATGCTAAGCCAGCTTATTTTAAAGGAGTTATAATATTTAAGAGTAAGGGGACACAGTCCAATGGTTAATGTGCTAAAGCACTAAAGAAAGTATATCAAGTTGCTGACATAGGCAGTAACTCTGGTCAATTCTGTATTCAGGAAAAGGAAGATGTCAAAGATAAATGAACTGATAAATTATTCAGGAGAAATCATATATATATAACATCAGCTAGAAAAGATGATCTATACTATTTTACAATAGAACAAAGATCTAAGAAACTGATATATTATTCTTCACTAAAGAGGTCAGAGAGCCTGAAAAAATAACATCAGAGCTACAGTATGACAAGAAAATGCGGTAAAGGACGAATACCTTAAGAAAACATGGAGACAGAATTATCATAGCAAAGCTAATATGGGGATGCCTGTGAGGTGAGGTGTATATTGAAACAAAGTGAGAAAGCAAATGTAATAAAGAGATACTTTGCACTATAGTTATGGCAAGGAATATAACTACACAATTCTAAAACACTGACAAAGACTGATTCCTCACCATGCATTTTCCCCTTTCTTCTGAGTAACAGAACCCAGTATTATTTGAGGCAGCAATACCCTCAGCCAAAACGAACAAACAAACTGTATTCCCAGCCTCTTTTGCAGCTAAGTGGGGACTAAGTACTGGGAAACAAAACATAAGCATAGGAGTGGGAGGTAAAAGGCAATTCCTTTTATCTCCCGTTCCTTTCAGCTACAGACAAAAATACAGCACAATAGACAATGAGGTGACTTTGAAAATGAAAGCCATATATAAAAGATAGTAGAGAAGAAATACAGGAGCCTGAGGCCCTGATAATACCATGGTGCTGCAAAGCCAATCCTAGACTGTCCCGCCCTAGATTCTTACATGAGAAAGAAAAAAATTTCTTTCTTATTGAAGCCACTGTTATTCCATCACCAACCCCCACTCCACTCTAATATTTGGCCAAAGTTAATCTTAACAGAAATATTGATTTATAAAAAGATACATTTTATTTTATAACAAAGACCAACCCGTGGAATAAAGAGCCATATGATGTTAAAACTAAAGAAGTAATAATGCATTAAAGTTCACTTAAATAAACAAAATAAGTACAATGAAAATATAATATAGCCTAGCTAAGAGATGTTTAATTTTAGGTCCATAAATGGATTTCAAAAGGTCTGAGAACCCCCTAGAATCAAAAGAACATTTTCTTAGTATGCCCACATGTACATGTTTGGAGGAAGAATGTTCAGAGTGTGAACAAAAATTCTTCATGGACAAGAATCAAATTCTTTGTGAGATCCATGGCCCCTTTAGAATCTTGAAGTTCTGTTTCTCACTCTTCCTGTTACATTTTATTTATTTATTTATTTATTTATTTATTTATTTATTTATTTATTTATTTATTTATTTATTTTTCCCTCATTAAACTTTATTTTAATGAGTCTCAAAATACTGTGACAGATTTTTGGTCAAGTTGTTTCCATTAAAAAGTACTGATTTTAAAAACTAATAACTTAAAACTGCCATACAAAAAGAAACAAAAGTGGTTCACAAAACATTCTCCTTTCCTTCTGAAAGTTTTACGTTACAATGTATTATTAACAACCAGTCTTTTACTATTAAACTTAAATGGCCAATTGAAACAAACAGTTCTGAGACCATTCTTCTACCACTGATTAAGAGTGGGGTGGCAAGATTAGGGATAATATTCATTTAGCCTTCTGAGCTTTCTGGGCAGATTTAGTGACCTTGCTAGCTCCAGCTGCCTTCTTGTCCACTGCTTTGATGACACCCACAGCAACTGTCTGTCTCATATCACGAACAGCAAAACGACCCAGAGGAGGATAGTCTGAGACGCTCTCAACACACATGGGCTTGCCAGGAACCATATCAATGATGGCAGCATCACCAGACTTAAAGAATTTAGGAGCATCCTCCAGCTTCTTTCCAGAGCAGCGATCAATCTTTTCCTTGAGCTCAGCAAACTTGCAGGCAATGTGGGCAGTATGACAATCCAGTACAGGAGCGTAGCCAGTGCTAATTTGGCCTGGATGGTTCAGGATAATCACCTGAGCAGTGAAGTCTGCTGCTTCCATTGGTGGGTCATTTTTGCTGTCACCAGCAACGTTGCCACGGCGAACATCTTTGACAGATACATTCTTGATGTTGAAACTCATGTTGTCCCCTGGAAGAGCTTTGCCCAAAGCTTCATGGTGCATTTCAACGGACTTTACTTCAGTTGTAACATTGACTGGAGCAAAGGTGACCACCATGCCGGGTTTGAGAACACCAGTCTCCACTCGGCCCACAGGGACAGTGCCAATACCACCAATTTTGTAGACATCCTGGAGAGGCAGACGCAAGGGCTTGTCAGTTGGATAAGTTGGTGGCAGGATGTAATCCAGAGCTTCAAGCAGTGTGGTTCCACTGGCATTGCCATCTTTTACGGCTGACTTTCCATCCCTTGAACCAAGGCATGTTAGCACTTGGCTCCAACATGTTGTCACCATTCCAGCCAGAAATTGGCACAAATGCTACTGTGTCAGGGTTGTAGCCAATTTTCTTTATGTAAGTGCTAACTTCTTTAACAATTTCCTTGTATCTCTTCTGGCTGTAGGGCGGCTCGGTGGAATCCATTTTGTTAACACCAACAATTAGTTGTTTCACACCTAGTGTGTAAGCCAGAAGGGCATGTTCATGGGTCTGCCTATTCTTTGAGACACCAGCTTCAAATTCACCAACACCATCAGCAACAATCAGGACAGCACAGTCAGCCTGAGATGTGCCTGTAATCATGTTTTTGATAAAGTCTCTGTGTCCTGGGGCATCAATAAGAGTCACATAATATTTGCTGGTCTCAAATTTCCACAGGGAGATATCAATGGTGACACAACGCTCACGCTCAGCTTTCAGTTTATCCAAGACCCACGCATACTTGAAGGAGCCCTTTCCCATTTCAGCGGCCTCCTTCTCAAATTTTTCGATGGTTCTTTTGTCGATCCCACCACATTTGTAGATCAGATGGCCAGTAGTGGTGGACTTGCCCAAATCTACGTGTCCGATGACGACGATGTTGATGTGGGTCTTTTCCTTCCCAATTTTGGCTTTTATGGGTGGTTTTCATGGCCCCTGTGTTCTGGTGGCAAACCCGTTGTGAAAAAGACATTTTAAATATATTTCCTCGTGCTAGATCTTTCAAAAAATTGGTTAATCATAAATCTCTAATATAAATTATATTTTACTTTGAGGATATGATTAAGATTTCCCTTTGTGAATTTTGAACCCACATGAGTGTCATTCATCTTCTACTCACTCTTACCTCCACGTGGTAATTCGGTATGAAGATAAGCCAATCCTCTAGTCACAGAATGAGCCAGACGGCAAGAGCTTACCCAGTCACTTGTATGGAGACTCAAATACTTGCACAGAGATCCCTATATAGAGGAAAAAATGTAAAAAAAAAAGTGAAATTAATTTATTTTAACATGAAGAGGGAAATTAGCAACCTTATAAAGAATTTGCATAGGCTAGGATTCCATGAAGATCTAATGAACTACTACATTTTGGAATCTTGAAAGAATTAGTAAGACATTTCTGTGTGTAGACAGAAGAGGAGATGATAGAAAGGAAAGGAGAATTTAAATAGTATCAATTTTTTATGTTTCTAATATTAAAAATTATGAGTGGTTATTTCCTTTTAAACAATTCCTTGATCTATCACAGCAGGATAAAAAATATCTTAACCAGTAGAAATACAAACTATATTATTATGTTTTATAAGTAGAAAACAGAACGCCTTTGTAAACATATATGCATCAGTGCTACTCAAAGTGCTTATCCACAAACTATTATCAGTCTCTGATGGGTAAGGAGCCTGCACCAGAATTAATGTCAGAGTAGTGCTTCCTTCAATGAGAAAGTCTTGCTATCAAAAAAAAGAAAGAGAGAGACAGAGAAAGAGAAAGGAGAAAGCTGAACACACAGTACAATTAATGATGCAGTTGATTCACACTCTGGTGTGAGACCCTTATTTCATTAAAGACCATTAGTAACCAGTTTTTGAATCAGCAATGGTCTCTCTCTATTACAGTGGTCTTCCTGAAGTCTGATTAACAGCTAATATAAATGTCAGCTTATATTTTATGAAGAACTTACATTGGGATAATACTCCATCACAAGCAAATACTCCATGCGTCCATCTGCAGTGACTCTCTCATCTCCAACTATAAAACGAGCAATGTTGTCATGTTCCATCAAAGGCACTCTGTAAATGTTTTTCTCGTTGATAAAATTTTGACGGTTTGCAAAGGAAAACACTTTTACAGCAACTGGACGTTCATCTAAGGAACCTTTATATACTGCTCCATATCTACCCCGGCCAATCAGCTGAAAGTGTTTTAAAGAAAGCAAGGTATTAATTCATATCACAACTGAACATAGTTATTAAATAATAAAGTACAAATCTATATGGTATGCCACACTCTTCAATATTTGCAGTTTATGCCATTATCAAGCAAATAATAAAGTCCATATCTGGTAAGACTTAGGAAGGTCCTACCAGACCTAGCCTGCCCATAGATAACAACTATAAACTCTGGACAAAATTTAAAAAAAAATATCTAAAGGCACCAGAGAATAAACAAAAGCAGATAGATCCTGAGAGGTGTCAAGGCTTAGAAGAAAGAAATGACACAAAGTGAGCTACCCATTTTTATGACTTTTAGCCTGAAGGCAGGCTAAAATCAGCACTGTACAGTGGAGCTCAAACTGCCATAGGAAATTCGTAATCTTTCTGGCCCTGGGAACCGAAGGACACAATTTGGTACAACCATAGCTGCTGAGAAGTAAGAAGAGAATCCCGGAAAGGAGAAAGTCAGAAGGGGAAACGCAGTGAATACATAGAACAGACTTCAGCTAAAGATAAAATAACTGAACTGAAATTTGAACTTCTTCCCAAGAGACAAGTTTGCACTATGTGTCTGACCAAGTTAATTGCTTACTAAAACAAACAACAAAAATCAACACACTTTAGAAGAACGTAACAGCGTCCAGGGTCTCCACAAATATGATATTCACGATAACTGGGATACATTAAAAAATTATTCAACATACAAAAAAACCAGCAAATGTAATCCATTCTTTTCATTTTGGCTTTTGGGGATTTCTTTCACTTTCTATTGAAACAGGTTAGTGACTTATGATTATTTATTTAAGGATGTGTGTTATATGTCATTCACTATTTCCAGGTTAAAATTTAACATACAAACAAACTGTCCTTTATTTACTTATTTATTTATTTTTAGAGATAAGGTCTTGCTCTGGTGCCCAGGCTGGAGTGCAGTGGCGTGATCATAGCTCCCTGTAGCCTTGAACTCCTGGGCTCAAGGAATCTTCCTTCCTTAGCCTCCTATGTAGCTGGGACTATAGACATGTGCCATCATGTCCAGCTAATTTTTCCTTATTTTTTGTAGAGTTGAAGTCTCAGTGTGTTGCCCAGGCTGGTCTTGAACTCCTGGGCTCAAGCAATCCTCCTATCTTGGCCTCCCAAAGTGCTGAGATTATAGACATGAGCTACCATGCCCAACCTAGACTGTCCTTCAAAAAGGTTGTATCAATATATAGTTAATTCAGCAATGTTTGAGAGTGTTTCTTTCCATCCTGGATACAATTCCATGGTTTGTTATTTCTTTCATCCTAGTAAATTGGATACCTTATTGTACATTTATTAGCCACACTTAACTTCTTTTGTGAATTAGCAGTTCATTTCTTTTGTCCATTTCTTATGGATTATTTCTTACATATTGACTTATGTAGTTCTTATCAAGTTTTTCCTTAAATATTGAAATATTTTTTCAAGTTTGGCTTTTAACTTTGTTTATTGTAATTTTCTCCCATAACAAGAAGTTCTTAAAATATAGTCATATCTATTATACCTATTCTTATATTTAATAGTCTCTGGTTTGCATACATCGTTAGCAAGTCATTCATAATAAAGACTGCAAAAACACTCACCATGGTAAGATTTTTAACATAACTTCTGATATGTTACCAAATGAAACTTAAATTCTGTGTGATATATAATAGCCATATGAAGCTATAAAATATGTAATACATGCACAGACAAAGAATATTTATTTGGCATCTACTGTGTATTCCTTGTTGGCATACTCGTCTCAAAATTTCATATGTCTTTATTCCCGTACTCTGTTCAAATCTGTACTCAAAGGTCATTCACTTTCTAAATATACTTTCTTTAATAACCCCCTCTTCATCATTTTCTTATCTCCTTATCCACTTTACTTTTCTTTATAGCACTTACTACTACTTGAAATTAAATTATATATTCATTTACCTGTTTGCAGACCTCCCAACTAGAATATAAGTCCCAAGAAGGATATCTGTATTGTTTATCTATATTCCTAGTGCATAGAATAGACCTTGGTACAAAATTGATACTCAATGAATATGGGTTGAATAAATAAATGAACCATTTAATAAATGAATGAAGTCACTGTCCAAGATATACTATGAGAGTAGAAAGAACAGTCCATAATCTAAGAGCAACCTTACCTCCAACAGTTTCAGATTATCTAGGTCAAGAGAGGGCTCTGATGCTGCTGCTTCCATCATGTTCATACTGTGAAGACCTTGTTTACGGTCTCCTATAGGAACAGGAAAAAGAAATTACTAATGTATGATTTTCGTAACAAAGATCTTTATTACACTTTTTATTCATTACAGTTAAAAAGAAGAGTTGCAGGCCGGGCGCTGTGGCTCACGCCTGTAATCCTAGCACTCTGGGAGGCTCAGGTGGGCGGATTGCTCGAGTTCAGGAGTTCAAAACCAGCCTGAGCAAGAGCGAGACCCCGTCTCTACTATAAATAGAAAGAAATTAATTGGCCAACTGATATATATATAAAAAAAAAAAAAAATTAGCCGGGCATGGTGGCACATGCCTGTAGTCCCAGCTACTCGGGAGGCTAAGGCAGTAGGATCGCTTGAGCCCAGGAAGTTTGAGGTTGCCGTGGGCTAGGCTGACGCCATGGTACTCACTCTAGCCTGAGCAACAAAGCGAGATTCTGTCTCAAAAAAAAATAAATAAATAAATAAATAAAAGCTTAAAACCCTGAAAAATACTGCAAAAACTTTAAAGAAGATTTTATTAAAGTTATTCTGATGAATGCATGGGAGCTGATTTCCTAAACAGCCCATCAAACCTGAAGTTTATTAGAACCAACTGGACATTTGATGATACTGGGAAATTTGTTATTTTTTTCAGATGTGAAAATAGGATTATGGTTATGATATCTGTGATTTGCTTCAAAATAATCCAGTGGCATGGAAAGGGGTACTGACTGCTGATTCAGTGAAACAATATTGTCCCTATGGGATAACTATCGAAGCTGGCTGGGTGACAGGTATTTGGTATAAGTTTGAAATTTTTTGTAAGAACTGTGGTAAAAAAGTTTGTTAGAGAGAAGGATGGTAGCTACCATATCACACAGCTTTTCTTTTCTTTTTTTAGCATTTACTATAGAAATTTTAAAAAGGGAAAAATAAATTTTGATTAGATAGCATATTTAATAAATGTTAGAACAAAAAAATAGTATTTTTTTTACCTGTCAACATTCTGTATCCAAAGCATAAGGCAACTATCAAAACAGCTAGGACAGAGACCGATGCCAAAGCAATGATTATTGTCTCATCTCGGTTAAATGAGTGAGGTGGACCTAAAAGAAAACAAATTTTGAAACAATGTAATCCTTTTTTTTTTTTTTAGTATTTTGTGAAATACTGAATGACTGACTGACTTTAAGAAAGGCTGTATCAATACGTAATTAAATCAGTAATATTTCTATATCAATGGAAATGAAAGAAAAAATATTAATAAATTTGTGATAATTATAAATTATATTTTTTTAATCATACAGACTATCTTACATGGATTTAGAACACTGAAAAACCTATTTTAGGTGTGCTCCTAAATATTGATATATCAACTATATCAAGGAATAGCACAGACAGGATTGCATAACATTTAAGAGCATAGTCTTAGAATCATATCTGGTTTTAAATCTTGGCTCTACACCACTTGCTCAGTAGGCTTGAGCAAAATATTGAACTTTTCTGTGCCTTAGTTTACTCATTTGTAAAAATAGTACTCTGTATCTCCCAACTTAGCTGTGAAGCTTAGATGGGAGTCTAAGGGCTTAGTATAAGAATATATTATCCATGCAATAAATAGTAGTTGTGTTTATCAATATTGATATAGTATTATTAATGAAAAAAGCATGACTTTGCAGGCAGGCAATTAAATGTGAAATGAACTTGAAGCTCAGTTCTTCCACTTAATATATGATCTTGGGAAAACTTCTTCACCTGTCTAAGTTTACTTACTTGCAGAATGGGAACACACATATCTAAACTGAAGGGCTATCATGAGCATGTAAACATTGTACAGTGTTAGTTCTATTCTGTGGGTCAGATCATATATAGAGAGCAAATACCCTTTAGAATGAACATCCATAAACTAGAGCATAACCAGAAGAGACAAGTAGAACAGTGAAGGTACAAGAACTCTGAATTGTGATAGGTAGAAATAACTAAAAGTGTCTGATATGGAAAAAGAAAACTTGGGAGGATATGATATCTGTCTTCACATGGAAAAAAGGACTTGTTTTGAACAACTAGAGAAAATGATCAGATCCAATTAATACATGTTGAAGGACAGCAGTCTTTAGAACATCATATTAAAAAAACTTATGGCTTACCAATAGACCTGTCTTAAATGGAATGAGTTACCTTGTAAAATAGCTGTTCAATTTTATTAGAGGTATCATACAGTGTTTGGTAATACTGACCAGATGCTGGGCTTGATGACTGCTAATATCCTTAATCATTCTTTATAGTTAATCAAAATCAAGCACACTATATTGTAAAACTTCCTTATTTTGAACATTACAATTATGTGTTGTATTCAGATTAGAAACTTCTATGGCAAAGTAATGGCAAAGAGTTCCTCTGATAGGCATTCCTATTCTAAATGAATTTACTTGTCTAAGTCAAATTAAGTACAACTGTATATTAAAATGTCTAACCAGTATTTCTATCGATGGATCTGCTGAAGCACTAAAATACTCTTAATTTATAGGACATCTATTAGATATTAATAGATCTTAACATACTGATAATTGTACCTCCTTTTCAACATATAGAGTAATTTATAGGCAGAAAAGCTACAGTCTAAAAAAAGAAGAAAACAGAAAGTGTCAGCAAGGATGTGGAGAAATTCAAAGTCTTGTACATTTCTGGTGGGGAATATAAAATGGTAGATACAGAAGAAAACAGTTTGGGGGTGCCTCAAAAAGTTAAACATAGGCCCGGCACGGTGGCTCACGCCTGTAATCCTAGCACTCTGAGAGGCCGGGGCAGGCAGATTGCTCCAGATAGGAGTTCTAAACCAGCCTGAGCAAGAGCGAGACCCCGCCTCTACTACAGATAGAAAGAGATTAATTGGCCAACTAAAATATATAGAAAAAATTAGGCCGGGCGCGGTGGCTCACGCCTGTAATCCTAGCACTCTGGGAGGCTCAGGTGGGCGGATTGCTCGAGTTCAGGAGTTCAAAACCAGCCTGAGCAAGAGCGAGACCCCGTCTCTACTATAAATGGAAAGAAATTAATTGGCCAACTAAAAATATATAAAAATTTAGCCGGGCATGTGGCGCATGCCTGTAAGTCCCAGCTACTCGGGAGGCTGAGGCAGAAGGATCCACTCAAGCCCAGAGTTTGAGGTTGCTGTGAGCTAGGCTGACGCCACGGCACTCACTCTAGCCTGGCAACAAAGTGAGACTCTGTCTAAAAAGGAAAAGGAAAGGAA